ATCACATGTTCCGCGCCCTCAAGAATCACCTGCGGGACAAGGCCTTCGACGATCGAGCACAGCTCGAAAATGATGTCGGCCGTTTCTTCGCTTCGCAATCGCCAGAGTTCTGGGCAAAGGGCATCGAGCAGTTACCCGTACGTTGGGAACATGTCATAGACAACAATGGTCATTACATTGCAGACTGAAATTGCATTTCAATGAAGTTATAAAATTTTGAAAAATTTGCGCAGAGTGTTGCAAGACTTTCTTTCCAACCCGATAAATTGAAGGGCGTTTCCAGCTCTCTCTTGCTACAGCCCAGAATAATATCCACCCTCGACCAAAGGGCGAGATTCTTCAGCCTTTTCTCCTCTTAGAGAGACTTCGTCATTGACCATTCTACATCAGCAAACTAAGAGAGGGAAGCGGGAGTCCCGATTTCGGAAGATTGACTCGAATGTTCACATATTCTCTCTCCAGTTGAACTATGGTTGATCACACTAACAAGCGAAATATAGAGGTGGAATGCGGGAATTGGGTTTTCCAGGTTTGATCACTTTATCCGGCTGATGGTAGTAATCAGCGATCAAAATATGAGGCATCTAATGTAAGAGGAATTTTTGGAGTCGAGCATGAATGAGTCATTTCCTACATTCATGGGAACAAAGGTTTTCCCTATTACGTTGAAGTATATCCATCATCTCGGTGCATGTCGGATTTTTTTCCCCCTCACAGCTGCATTTTCTCACAGCCGAATTTTCAAAGGGAAGTCCCTCACATTCATGACTCCTTCAACCAATGTACCTGAAAACTCCATTTTCTCTCAGCTCGGCTTAGGAACCACGTCATTGAAGGGCAAATGACTCCTTCAACAAATAAGAGCATACACCTGGAGTCACGATAAGATACACTTCCGTCAACTTCCATGCCAACGCCTACGAGTCCTCACAGCCTGAGTGATTCAGTTCCTCCTGAAAGCAACCCAATTGTAATACTGTGCAGAGGAGAAAAATGGCAAGCAAGAACTTCTCGTCCAAGACGAAGGCAGAGGCGGTTAGAGCTTCAAGAGGGGAGTGTTTTTATGACGGCACGAGACCTCCTGAAAGCAACCCAACTGTAATACTGTGCAGAGGAGAAAAATGGCAAGCAAGAACTTCTCGTCCAAGACGAAGGCAGAGGCGGTTAGAGCTTCAAGAGGGGAGTGTTTTTATGACGGCACGAGGCTAAACAAGAACAACACGGAGATAGACCACGTTGTTAATAAGACGAGGTGAGTCCATGAGATCATGTTGCAGCCAAATACGGGTTTCTCGATCGGGCTTTCGATCAGATTTTAAACACGGCTCTCCTCTAAACCCCATTTTTTGGAAATGGTTTCCATATCGTTGGTTCAGCGGTATAACTTAACCCAACATAAATATTTCCGCATCGTATTGTATTCCTCTGGGACTTTTCTGCAGGCCCGGATGCACCAACGACCCAAGCAATGCAGTCGCTGCATGCAAACCCTGCAATAGGGAAAAGGGCACCCTCACCGCCTACGACTAATTTCCGCATCGTATTGTATTCCTCTGGGACTTCTCTGCAGGCCCGGATGCACCAACGACCCAAGCAATGCAGTCGCTGCATGCAAACCCTGCAATAGGGAAAAGGGCACCCTCACCGCCTACGACTACCAAGCGAACAAGCTCGGGCAGACTCCACGCTGCCAAGGTTTCACTCAGGGCGACTACAGGTGCCAGCGGAACGTGGCCGAAGGAAATCGAAAATACTGTCACGATCATTAATGAATAAAAATGGTCATTGGAGGACTTCGATTTCTTGCTTTACAATATTTTGGTGTTAAAAATTTTCACGCACTCAGTTAAATCTAGGTAAGAAGAGCCTAGGTTACAAGCCCACGCCACCCAGGTTCTCCCGTACTGAGGATCCGAATGCTGCGATGACTGGAAAGGAAGTGCGAGCTTGAGAGCGATAAAAGTACACTCGCAAATGTAGGAAGATGCTGCGCATGCGCAGATCGGGTGCTGACATACGCTCAAGCATTTTATACAGCAGGGTTGTCAAACTGGCGGCTCGAGAATTACTCTTAAACAGTTGGTTTTTTTGAAAAGCGCAGACATATTCAACCTGTTCGCAATTGAAGTCTGGTGTAAGATTTTCTGTTCTGAACCCGACCTCCCTTGAAGGGCTTTATCCGGCCCCCAACTTAGTCGTATTGGACGTTTCTGGCATAGGCATTAGGCTAAGCGTATAGCATTTTCGGGAAATCACAATTTAAGTCAGCAGCCCTTCCATACCTCCCCTACCCACTAGTGTTCACATTTACGATACAGATTTTCCCGCGGTGACAGGTATGTATGATATATAGGACATTTTACACATCTAATATACGAGGATATACCGGGTGTTGCACATAGCGCCCTCCCCCCCTCCCAGCCTAAACTATAGGAGCTAGGAAAATATGTTTTAATATATCTGGAATCCTTGTTCAATTTAGAATCTATTCCATACCATTTTGTTTTTTTATTGATGTCAAATGATGGAGAATTTAAATTTATTGATCCCATCCGTGATATTA